AGTGATCGCAGGGCTGACGTGAGCTGAAGGTTTTGCTATATAAAGTTTAACTAACGTCTGCACCGCCTCCGGCCCTTCAGGCTGAGCAATCTCAGCTCCTCTCTGCAACCTGGAGATCTTCAAGCACCCAAAAGATTTCACAGCTAATACTTTCCCCAAATGTCTTCTCATTTATAAAAGCAAAGGGAATATTTTCTGTCGCTGGGGTCAGTCAGTAGATGGCCATTTATAAGTGGAGGCATCCAGTAACGCAGGAGTGGAATTTAAGAGTCAATTTGAAACCAATACTGTACGCTTGCAGAGGATGCAAGGCCAGGGCATCTCCAGCTGTTTGGGCGAGCTAGTTAAGGAAAGGGATCGTGGTCTGTACAGTTAATACCCTAATTTACCCCTTAATACTTGTGTGCAACGTTTCTCCCACTTGAGGACCTACAATTTGAAACACCTCAGGAAACTCCTGAAGCGTGCACAGTAAAATAGCTAATCCAGGCTCGCTCAGGCAGACTTGTGAAGGTCTCTTTGCGTGCCAGACGTTTGGAAAGTCAGGAGGATGGTGAAACACGCGAGCAGGGAGCTGTGGAGCGGCGGCGTGCAAGGGTCTGGAAAAGTCAAGAAAAGACTGGAAGTCAATTCCTCAACAGAGCCAAAAGCATGGAATATAAATATAGGATTGTCCCACATCCTTGAAAGAAACAAGCTGACTTGGACAATGGAAACCAAATACTGTCAATTAATTTACTGAGGCATTTTATGCATTCACTGCAACACAGAACCAAAATGAGATACAGAATCTGGACAGTAAAGGACTGGCATTTGCAGAAATGATCTGATTCATAGTTTCCATGGTCACACAACAGTTTCCAGCCATGATCAGCATCAGGCCTCATATATTTGACACCTATTTATTTACAGGCCCACAAATGTTTTATGAATACAGCCCATTGTGTTCATCTGCCTATTCTCACGTCTGTTTTGGCAGATATGATTTATCCTGGATTCGTTCTTTCTCATATCTGCACAGTCTAATCCCAGTGGAAAACTCTCAAGGCTTTGACTTTCCCAGTCTTCCGTGTGCACGCACAGTGTGAAAGGGCAGGGCAGCGTGGGCACAGTGAGCGATGAAGACCGCGCCAGACAGCAGGGGAAAGAGCCGGGAGGATTCATCACGCGGGACAGCCGCTGAAATGGGCTGGCTAGTCAAGGGGGAGGACGAATCAATAGGCAAGTGTTAAGCCAGTTAATTAACTCCCCCAGCCCCTCCCCACCTCCCCAAGGCCTGCACTATCAATCTGGGGGCAGCCACATGGGGAGTTTCCTGCTGCAGGCTCCAGCGTGCCTGCGGATCAGCAAGGGCTCGGAAAATGGACACGTTCTGCCTCTGTCTCTTCGGTCGAGAGCAGGGGTGGTCCACTCCTTTCCTGGAGATCTACAGTCCCTACAGGTCTCTCGTCACACCCGGTCTGTTCCAGGAGAGCAATTCTAACCAGTTAAGCGAATGTATTGACTTATTTCTAAAGACTTCAATGAAAGGGATGAAGGGGCGACTCTGAATAAACCGGATGAGACCCCAGGCAGGCGCTTGGCTCACAGAGGAAGGGAAGCGCAGGCTCGGAGCTGATGATTCGGGAAGCGCGGGAGGGAGATGTTGACGAGAAGGGCTGGATGAGGGGGGAGGCGGTGCGGGCTGGAGACGACAGCCGGCCGATGGGGAGAGCAGGAGCCAGAGTGGGCTCCTGCTAAGTGCCGAGAGTACCCCGAAGGATTAGGGGCTATCTGTTCGCAGGCACTTGACAGAACACACCACTGCACGCTCCCTGAGGGTCACAACTCCCATCCTCACCTTCAGGAAAGCAATCTGAAATTCTTACTTTCCCAGTGACAGAGCAATCCACGAGCTGTGAGGGCACACGGCAGCCTCTTTTTTTTTTCTTTTTACTTGCAGATTCAAAAAAGCAAAAGATTTCAATTCAAAGTTAATAACGCAATAAAATACCACAGTAAACAGACTCTAAAGGCAGTTAAAAAGACCCTTTGACTTTTATTTGACATAACTTGCATTCAGGGTGTGCATTCTCCTGTTCTAACAATACTGCTGTAATGCTTGTAGTACCCCAGATGGCCACCAGGGTGGCACAGTCCTGACTGGACTCTTACAGCTTGTCGAGATGGACAAGATGGCATGCCATTACCACTGTCCTTTTACATTTAGTGTGGTATAAACTCATCATCTCCCATCACCCACCCAATTCGATTTCTATTCCAACTAGGAATTTCAACAGGACACTCCTTCCCCTCTCTGCACTACAGAAAGGCAGAGCACGCCCACCAGATGCTGACTGTTCTTATTTCAAGGCAGAAGGGTCACCTCAAGTTTCCAGCTCTCACACTGCATCTTGTTTGTGGTGTCAGAAACCGCTGCTCATTGAAACGTTTAAAAGTCTCAAACAACTTATCTTAAACAACAGGAATGGTCAAAACAGAAACGGATGTTCTCCAGAACACCGCTTAAAGACAGCAGCACAGTGCAATGCCAGTCTGCACAAAGGGCTTGTTTTGACTTGGCTGCAAAAGCTGAGGTGAGAATAAAGGACATGTTGCTCCCCAAGGCTCAGTACAACACCAGCCTGGTAATCTCTGCAAAGGATGGAAAATATTTTAAAATCTTGTCTCGGCGGTGCCAGCTGAGCAGCCGTGATCTACAGCAGCTTGTCGTAAACACAGATGAGCGTCGCTATTGTTGCCATGAGTCTGTTATGAAAAAGCCCAACAGGTCAGAGTAAACATCTGAGGGGCTTCGGTTTACACCAGCGAAGACTAAAACACACAGCAGCTGGCCACAGGCAGGATTAGAGAAGCCTGCTCACTCCCCAGCAGACTGGGTGGCCTTTTCACGGAGATAGAAATGCTTCTGGGGAAGAGGTGGGTATGACTGGTAGGACCTGCCTATTCCCCAAAGCTGCATCTAAAAGCAAGTCTTCAGACGCAAGGGTGAAGTGTATCAGTTGGACTGTTTGCTACAAACAGGGCAAGATTCTTCAGGGTCCTTAGGGGTACTCCTGATGTATGATTAGTTACATAATGAGCGATTTCTTTAAATAAAAGGACAGCACGGGAAGCTGTTTTTACAAAACGTTTCTTAATTTATGAACATCTACTACACGGCATTTAATGAACTGAACAGCTCTTGCACTGGAAACTCTTGGTGGTAATTATACCCGATGGTTAAGGCAAGACATATCTGCAGCAAGTTTCCCGTTTCTCTTTTGACTTTCTGCACCATAATCACAGCGAGCGCATCCACATGCTAGAATGACCTCTGCAATTAAGAATGTCAGATGGGCTAGAATACAGGAAAAGTAAGATACCCTCCCCCAGTTTGTCAAATAAATATGTGGAGTTGTCTTCTATACTTTCCACGTATCCTTAAGATTGGTCCTTTTCACAACACAGGAGATTATGGCACTACCTGCTCTGGCCCATCGCCCAGAGAAAAATTAAAAGTCCTAGTTGATCAGATAGATTCCTGCCAGTGGTAGTGGACAGCAGAAGTGCAGTGCCCTAGATAGGAAAAGGTCTCCCTCCAAATGGCCAGTCCTTGGTCACATGTTAAAAAAAAAAAAGAAGGCAAACCTCCCTGCGCTGGTCATACCGTCCAACTTCATCCCCCTGTTCCCTGCTGCCGAAGCCGCCCTGATCCAGGGGCACTGCAGGTGACCAGAGCAGGGAGTGTGAAAAGGAAGCAGCCGAATCCCAGGTGTCCGCTGGTCTCTGTGGAGGGGGGGTGCCGAGGAATTAACTGGGCCCCACCCCCCACTTCCCCGGGGCTGCGTATGCACACCCCCCCCAACCAGTTCAGTGCTCGAGCCCATGCCCCTGCCTCTCTTGGTGCCTCTCAGAGGATCTGCTCAGTGCTGGACGCCGAGATGTCCAGGAGTCTCCAGGCTGCGTAGGGGTTGAGCTCGTCCTGATCGCGGCACAGCGCCCACACGTACATCATGCGCAGGACCTTCTCCTGCGGAGACACAGGCAGGACAGGGCCTCTTTCAGACCGACGCTCTCGAACAGCAGTTTTTAACCAAGTGTCTGGGGACTCTCGACGGACATGCACTGACAGCACCTGCAGTTCATCTGTTTACGTGCAGTTCTGCTTTCAATATTTGATGTTCAAGGACAGCACTGCTTTTTAAAAATGCATAAGCTTCAGTCTGGTTTTGTTTAAACGGGGGGCTCCCTAGCGAGGTGCATTTCAAGAAAAGACAGGCGCACTCAATCGGAGGACTGACACAATTAACATTTTTTTCTACAATTTTTAAAACGTTTTAACGATAACACCTAAATTCCACTGACACCAGTCATTCCCCTTCAATACAAGTGAATTAGATCTTTTATTTACTGTATTTAACTTCAACACAGTAAGAAGAAAGCTTTGTGTACAAACACATGCAACGAAACTGACAGGGCTGTGTCAAAGGTGAAGCCTCCTACTATAGCCCATGAGGAGGTAAAGACAGCTTTAAATGATGCACATAAAAAATTCAGCACATAAACAATACCAAAGGAGAACGGATCTGAGGATCTCACCCAGGTGTGTTTTTAAAAGAAGTCTGGGTCCCGACTTCAACATCACAGGTGGGTGACTTGTCTCAGACTCCCAAAACCCTTTGTGTCAAGGTCTCCTGCCTTTGGATTTAAATGCCCTTCCACTTAGTTACAACTGTCCTCTCCGGCTCGTGTTTCATCGTTCGTTCTGAAAATCCTGAATCCTAAGGAAATTATGAGATAAAAGCTACACAACTGCTCTGCTAAGCAGCTTCTTTCCAAATAATGCAGCTGCAGGACCAGGCACACGAGACAGCAATTTGGTCTCTTTATAGCTCCCTGAGTTTTTGCAGGGTCTCACCTTTTATGCGGAGGCCAGCATCTTCCATTCAAATGGACGGGGTCCAACTTTTTCCTACTTCTTTTAATTAGCTCAGCTCCCAGGGGGTCACTGCCGCAACATGTTCAGCACAGAGCGAGCAGATTTAAGGGCCCAGCAGGGCAGGAACACAGACAGTAAATGGACTTTTATGAGCTTGCCGATAATTATCACATCAATGCGTCTACTGGCAGCGTCTGAGTGGTGTGTGGACAGCAGCCCTCTGCCCCGGGTCACCCTGCTGGTGATCAATCACACGATTACACAGCCATTACTGGAGGCGACAGGACGGGCCCAGCTCCTCCGCGAATCCTTCGTGGATAATATGAAATAAAGGGAAGGGCGTGCTTTTAAGGATCCAGATTAATCACGCTGCCTTGACACTCTTCAGCCTGCAGCCATTTCCTCCATAGCGACTTCTGTGCATTCGGCACTGGACATGACGCCGCCATCTTCCATCGCCTCACAAATCCAGGGCCACACCAACACTCTACATAATGAGTGGCTAAAACATGTCCTGGAACTGCACATTGCTGTTTAAGAATGTTCTTTGGGCGATGTGTTTAAATCAAGGGATTGGCTCGATTCCTGAATTACGGATTGTGATCAATTCGGTACGATGTGGAAAACGACCCCAGAAGGGCCAGTCACTACCAGTTGCTTTGCCGTGAAGCGCTTTCAGAGCGATGTTTCTAAAAGGAGAGCTCAACGGGGCCTTCGTTATCAAAAGGAGCAGGCCCCAAAAACAGACGTATCCGCCGCATGTCCGCGTCCACGGTGTGAGTATCAGCCCTTCACATGAGGCTCCGAGGGTGGGGCTCTGCATTAAACCGAAAACCTCCGGACGCCCATGTTTGAGTCAGGTGCGTTTTGTGGTTTGTGTTATGTCCCGGCGTGATCCGGGCTGCCCGTTTTAATTCAGCCCGGGCCCCCGCGGACTCACGCCAACGTCCTCGCATCAGGGCGCGCGCGGGTTCAGTAAGACCGGACCCCCCCTGCCCTCTGCCCACCCGAACCCACTCGCTCACCGGGTCCCCTTCTACCACCTCCCCCTTGGGGCTGCGGATGACCATCACGAGCTGGGCCTGGAAGGTGATGATCAGCACGGGACCCTGCTCCATCATCTTGCCCATGGCCAGCTGAAACGGAGACGGGGAGAGAGAGAGAGCACGTGAGGACCCCGGCTGCCACCTCCAAGGGGAAGAGTGGTGGGTGGCGTTGAGGGTGGAACGGGGGAGCTTTTGAGGACACAGAAGACAAGGAGAAAGAGTGTTTTGCCGCTGCTTCGGCTTAAGTCCTCTCGCCGTCCCTGCTGGAGGGCGGAGCCCGGGCACAGCGGCACAGGATGCAGCTCGTGGCGAGGCGCGGGACTCACGTCAATGTTGTCAATATCCAGGATCTTGGAGTGGAACTGCAGCCCCATGGCTTTGGCCTGCTGGATGGGGTGCGCCAGCTGACTGTACGTCTGGAGGCCGGAAGACAAAGACACAGAAATCAGCCGGGGCTGCACCACAGCGACCCCTGCTGGCCAGGACGGTCATCTCCAAAGACCGCTATCTCAAATAGAGGATAAGGACTCAAAAGTATTTAACCTTAGGTAAAAGTAATAACCATTTTCCTATAAAAGTAACATTTCTATTTAAGAGGGCAGGGCTTTTTTCCTTTATTGTTCTTTGACAGTGCTAATATTTTTTCCATGCACGTTTAACAATTTGACTGAGAATACCATGCATGGAGAGCCTAGTGGTAACTCTACACAGCAAACATGCAGCTTTTATTTTTTATGCAAAAACCATACAGTGGAAAAACCATTAACATGTGTACTCACAGCTTCATAGCACCAGTCCTTCAGGACCTCAAGGTCACCACGGATCATGGCCTGGATAAGGAGAATTCAGAATTTTGACAGCAGAAGAACAGGCACACATTCATTTTACTGGTAGTGAAGTATTTGATCATGATCGATTCAAGTCATGAATCTTTCTCCCCTCACCCAGAGATTCAATTCACAACAGCATTTAAAAATAGTTTTCCAAAGAATTAACCTTTTTAAAGATCACATTGACCTGCACATCCGGCCTAGCTTCCATTGAACTACAAGAAATAACAAATATTTATGAGTAGATCTGATGAAATTGTCCAGTTTATGACAAAACACCTTGAGAACTTCTAATGCGTATACCCCCATGAGCTCCCGAACAACGCAGCGACTTATTAAGAATGCAATCTGTTCGTGTACGTTTCCAATTCCACCACGGGACGTCCCACCAGGCAGACCCTCTCACCTCCAGGATGTTTGGAATGATGTCCTGCTCGCACTGCTTCAGAAAGGAATCTTTGTCAAACCCGGGATCCACCTTCAGGATTTCTGTCAGGACCTCCGACATTTCGGTTTTAGAAAACAGGCCACCTGTCCAGACAAATTGGGCGTTCAGCAAGGGGGACGGCGCAGTGGGCACCCCTTTCCACTGCAGGGTCTCCATCTCTTGACAACGCAAGTTTATCTTGGGTAAAATGTGTTTTTTTTTTATTGTTTCATAGCAGAGTACAGTTAGAAAACCAGTGCATGTTACTATCTTCTTATATGATAAAAACTCTGCCCCAAGAAGTGAAACTCCCCAGGGACATCAGTGTTTAAAAATTCCAGCTCAACTGGCGACAGGCTTCTCTGCCCTGCAAGGTCAGAGGTTAAAGCCAGGGGGAAGAGGCGAGGTCGTTACCGATGAGGTCAGTGACTTTGTCCGTGACGGCGCGGGAGGCTCTGATGAAGGCATTGTCGCTCTCGTCGTATTTCATCTTCATCTCAAAGAACCCTGGCGGAGAGAGGGAGAGTGACGCTATTTGAGTTCAGACACTCAAAACTGCAATTTCCAAATTCACCTGAAGCCAAATGTTGGACAATCGCACCTTTCAGTTTAAAAATGTAACCTGATCAGTATCACGGATGAAATTCACTCTTTAGATTTCGGCTAAACTACTACACCTGCTTTCTCAGGCAGTCTAACCAGCCAATATTCCCCCAGCACAGAGCACCACAGCGCTGCTTTGGGATCTGCATGGCAACCCTAATACCTGCTGGAGATGAACAGACGCTCCAGCATGCTAAAACAATTACTGAGCTAAACAGAGCTCGGAACAAGGGGCTCGGCAGTCTCCTGGTGAAAAACACTCCTTGCACTTCTGTTAAAACAATTTCCTGAATCTTTCGAGCCCCATCTACACAGACTTCCTCACAATGCAGTTAGGTGCAACTTCCAAAAAGCTATCCAATACTCATCTAGCCTAAAGGAAATGCAGAAGTGCTTTAGTTCTGTAAAATAAGCAAAAATTATTGAACTGTAAACTATAAGACATCACTTTAACTGTTTAGACTCCAGGTCCCCCATGACCCTGTATCGGATACGTGATTAGAAAATAGATGGATGGATATTTATATTGTTCATCCTTGACTGGGTTAACACTTCAAACGCAGGAGATTATGCTATTTCTGACAGACTCGTCAATTCTTTCCCTTTCCCCACCCCGGGAGACTCCCAGGGCTCTCATTACTCTGTGCTCGTTATACAGGCTCATTACCTTCAAGGTTAATGAGGTTCAAATTGGGACAAAAGACTCCGTTTGGCTCCTATCACAGTGGCCTTGCAACCTCATGGGGCTTCGGGCCTCTACTGGGATCTCCAGGGCAACTGTTTGTCTGTGGTTATTTATAGCCACCTACTCCAGTGGCTTAACAACAGCCGCCCCCACGTGCCTTAGGATCATAATGTTGCAATGGCTCCTAGCACCACTTAGTGGACAGAGGAGGGATGACACTAAACCCACTAAAGCAAACAGGATTTGGAATTCCTTTTATAAGAGGTGTAGGAAAGCTTCTCCATTTCAGTGTACTTTGCTGCATGCCTGTATTGGCTTCACGACACTACTTGAACGCTGCAGATACAGGATTGTGGGGATGTTACAGAACACAATTGTCTTAAGGAATTTCTGTGATGCAAGGTGCCGACCACTAATCCAGTTTTGATGACCCCAGTGTGAAACCTCTTCAGGGTCAGGGGGTCAAAAAGATTAGGCACTAAAAATCTAATCTGAACCCTGAATAATATTGTTTTAATCAAATTATTTTGAACAATTAAAACCTTTCCTTCTGCTTCAACTGCCATCCCAAAAACATCCCAAAGCTTTTGCTTAAAAAAGCACTCCTGAAGTATGTTTCACCTCTATCTTTTTAAACTCACTTACAAACAGAAATATCACTGATCAAAACTGAAACGAAAGCGCCCTCTGCTGGCAACACAGGAAAATACACCCAAAAGTGGGGAAGTTGACCTTACTGTTGAAAACCACATTGTTGTCCTTAAAGTCCTTCCACTGCTGATACCACTTAGAGTCCTTGTGCAGCACAACACCCATCGCCTCCCTGGAAGAGTAACAATGAGTCTGAACAATGAGTCACCTATCCAACCTAGAAGTAAATACAACAGTCATGTTCTCAAACTTAGTAACATCCAGCCAATCATGCTCTTAGAAGCACAATACTATAAAGAGTTACACATTAAAAAGTCAAGATGAAAATAGCCTATGAGCTCTGGTTTCCAGCATGCTGTATATGTTGTTTTTGTCCTGCAGTCCTGTTGTGAAAAAGAAAATGTGTTCAAAGAGGTTATTTTTTTTAGCATTATCATCATTTAGTGAGTATTGATTTAC